CGCGTGCCTAGCGACGGCGAGCGCGCGCGGCGCGCCTCGCTGGGCGGTCCTATCGAGCCGCGCGCTCGGATTTGGCGGTGGGCCGAGCGAATTTGAATATTTTTATAAATAAATATCTCGTTAACTATTGCAAAAATTGAAAAATGGTAGAAGACATTCCGTCTCAGTTTAATCCGCTCTACCTGTCCCTGATATTTGTCAGGAGAGTTATGGCCCCTGCCCTCCATACCCTTGGGTCGCCTTGCGGCCCTGGGGGGTCTAAGTACAACCTGTACCTCTCGTAACGAGGGGGGTCTGCACACCGGGTCCAGCACCCCAAGGGGGTCTCTCAGCAATGAAGGCCCCTGGGGGACTCGTTCCTCGGAACGGTCCCCATTGTGCCGGTAGGTTGGCGACACTGACTTCAATCGCCCAGTGGCACGGCGCCAACAGGGGGAGCGGTGCTCCCTGCCTGTGACTTGGGAAGGCTGTTGGGCGTGTCACTGTGGTGCATCGCACGCCCAAGGGTATGGAGGGCAGCAGGGTATATAGATCTGTATATAGATCTTTAGAATTTTTCCATTAATTTTTTTACAACTATTCGACAAACAAAGAGCACTCAAAAGTATAAATTAAGATACGTATCCACTGAGCGCGTCACGCATCGCGTCATCCACTGCGTCACAACGCGACGCGAAAGAGAGAAAAAGAGGGGTATAAACTTTACTCTTTCTCTCTTTCGCGTCGCGTCATGACGTGATGGATGACGCGACGCGTGACGCACTCAGTGGATATGTAGGGGAAAGTTGCTGAATGCGTACCACTTAACGTATTTTTTATTATATTTCTCATTTAGAACTGATTTGTGTGCAAATGAAGATTAGAAATTGTACTTTGATATTTCAAGTACCTATTATTACACGTTTTATCTTCTATCAATATCAAATTAATTCACTGGGAGTCTTTTTGCAACATGCTGCAAAAGGTCCGATTTAGGCAACCGGTCGCCTAAATCGTACCTGTAAGTATCCCAAATCGTACCGTCTTTGAAATTGACAAAATATAATATTATTTCTAATTATTCTTATACAGGCGTTTGGAAACATTGCTCGGATGCATCATGATTGTTTTATCTTTTATGTTGTTCCAAAGCAAAGACAAAATGATGCATCCGAGGCACCATAACCTAAAAGGCTGCGATTCCGAATGAAGCCATATATAAGAGGTGGTACGATTTAGGAAACTTAATCGATTTTATAAAAATATTTATTTAATCTTTGTAATGGATGTAAATATGTATATCAATGAATGTAAAATATTCTACAATAAACTTTCTTTTGTGAAAATATAACAATTCAGAATAAAATTATATCATTACATTACTATCGGCTATATAAATTGATCAAAAATTAACATTTGTTATATCTGATTTTTTTTAATGTTTGCGCGCACAAAATAAGGTATAGCCTGTTGAATTTTTGTCTACATTACTCATTTTTCATTTAGTTCATACTTTTGTCATTAAATGTTGCTTATATTACGTAATAATATGAAATATCGACGAGGTACGATTTAGGTGACCAGTACGCATTCAGCAACTTTTCCTTACCATTAGCAATGAAGATTGTAAATAAAGCCAATAACCTATCTCCCTATGTCATTTCTAACTACGTATAGATATCAGTAATGTTATTTCACTTTATTGTAAATTAATGTTATTCTTTTATATATTTATACACGTACCTTGACTATGCTGTTCTATAATGCACGTAATGCTTCTCACAATTAGATGCAAATATATAGTAGCGTAACAAGAGCGCCAGATTATGTTGCCAAGTTATGTTACGATGCACGACATGTTACGCGTGATGGGACACGTGACTAGGGATGATCCCGATTGACCACGGCTCGATTGGACACCACCAATCACACCGACCGGTGCTTAGGAGCTTTGTAGTCTCAAGCGCTGTGGGTGGCTCGTGTCCAATTGAGCCGTGTCCAACTGGGTGCCACCCCTGTTTACCCCTCAGTTGGCGACTATATCATAATTCTTAATATCATAATTCTTAATACTCTGATTACTATTATCATACCCTTTTAATTTTTAACTCTTTAATCCTATATTATTAGCCGTATTGCTCTACTCCAGAATAAAAGTAGGAAGAAAATAAAGAATATTTAAATTAGCCAGTGATGCCAACTGTTGAAAAACATTACCAGCTAAATTCTATTTGAAATACCGCCAAAAAACCGTCAGATATTTATATATATTTGTAATCACTTTTACGTACGCACTTATATAAGATGAGTACTAGAAAAGAATGGTACATATACATATATATATATATATATAAATACACAATCCTTATGCTGGATTCACACTGCATCCGATGGGCGTCGTACGACGCACTGCAACCAATCAGAAAACAGAATTCCGCTGATACGAAGCAAAATCCATCGGAATCCTGTTTTCTGATTGGTTGCAAAGCATCATACGACGCAAATCGGATGCAGTGTAAATCCAGCATTAGGGTACGTTTCCACTGAGCGCGTCACGCATCGCGTCTTGCCATGCGGCAAGCGTTTCCGTTTCCGCATCCAGTGTGTGCAGGGGCCATATTAGTTCGATGAGTTGTTCGACTGTGACGCGTTTCAGCTCGAGGTTCTCTGTAATTATTCAATTTTGGATATTTCGGCAGACTTCTGCCTCGCCTTTTGCTTTTTGGCAGTGTTCGTGGTTCTGGACGTCCCGGTCGTTCGTCTTGACGCACGTCCGAGCGGTGCCGTGGTGAAGTGACGACGCCGTAGATGTCCGCAGTGTTCGGCCATTTTTCTGCGGAAATTGTGCTCCATGTAATATTAGGAGATCAAAACAGACAGAGCAAAACGCGCGGAAACGCGGAAATTTAGTAAGATTTTGATAATTTTGTCTTCCTCGTTTCCGCGCTCCATGTAATCGCTCCATGTAACGAGTTGTATTTTATTTAATAAAGATATTCTTTAATTGAAAATATACGTATGTATATTCTTATTCATTTGACGTACACTGCCTGAAAATTTTCCTATACTACATTTCAAATAAATTCCAATATTCGAATAATAAAATTGTGTGCGGTGCATTTTAAGACAAATCTATGGAATATTTTTACCTTGATAGTCGGGGATATATGTATATATATATATACATCAAATACATATAACTGAAAGTACACATGTCCAAATATATGTAATCTGGAATTCCAAATATGACCAACCATATTAACTCTCAATTCTGGAATTATAGGATCCTGATAGCAAAATGCTAGTAGTTCGCGGGCAAATTGTAAGCAAACTTGATCAGATTTCCCACTACAAAACCATAATAGTTATCTGTTACCTAGTTTCCACCGAAGCATTAATTCGCACCTAATGCGGCGTAGAACCGAATTTAACTCGATGGAAATACGTTTGACTCTGCTCATTTCACTTCCACTTCGATCCACAACTTCTACCGGAGTAGCAGCAAATTGACATTAAATTTAGTCGGTGGAAACGATGAGATTAAAAGTAAATATTGCCAACCTTTTCATATTATTCGTTAAAGGTTAAAAGTATAAGCCGTTCAAAAATGAATAATAAACGTGATATTTGGTCATACGATGAAACTTTAACATTAATTAATATTTTAAAAGAAAAGAAAGTATTGAAAATTATGGACAACAAAAGATTTCGCATCGCAGAAATTTTCCAATCTTTAGAACAGGATATGAAGAATAAAGGTTATTGCCGAAGTGCAACGCAAATACACATAAAATTTAAAGCATTAAAGCGTAAGTACAATACTATTATATAATAAGTTATAAATAATTATTATACATTAAATTATAAATTTGGGCTACGTTCCAAAACGTCTTCTCCGAGGAAAATTTTACTCGATATAATAGTATAGTATATGTTACGTGTACTATATATTGAGAGTAAAATTTTCCTTGGAAAGGACGTTTTGAAATGTAGCCTTAATGTATGTTTCTCAATATTTTTTTATAATTTAAATTAATTTTACAGTACAATGTTTGAATTTTCAATAAATGGCTCTTGTTTTTGTTATAGGTAACTATAATAATTGTAGAACTGCGCTTTCAAAAAGTGGTGCGGGAGTAATGAAGAAATGTATACTCTATGATGAGCTTCATGAATTATTTGGATGCAGACCTGTAAATATTCAGGAAGGAATGGATTCTTTAAATACAACATTTATACCAATTGACGTGAATATGTTCGACAATATTCCCGATGCAGATGGCGCGATTCCAGGATGTTCAACATCTGATGAGACTAATGCATACAGTAATGAAAGCGACAACCAGTTTAACAATACTCCTAAAAGTATTATTAGTAGTATTAGTGAGAGCGACAGTATTGATTATATTGCGGAAAATTCAGACTTAATTACTGATAAAAGAGTTGAACAGCAATTCGAGACAATAATAAATAACGAAATAACGAATAATAATAATAATAATAATGATGTTGCAATGTTACTGGAAAGTGATAAAAATAGAGACTCTAAAAAAAAATTTAAGTCTGTAAGATCAACGAATCGTCAAACATTTGCTCAAGTATTTGATAATTGCGTTCAAAAATTAATAAAATCAAATGAAGATATTAATAGGGTTGCAATAGAAACTCAAAATACAATGATTAATAATATTTTAAAGCAACAAGAAAAAATGTTACAGCAACAAACTCAATTATTAATGCAAAATTTGCATGCAAATACTTTACAATCTCAAGTTCCTATAAATTATTTTTCTAATCCCACACAGTTCAGATCTCCATTGGCTCCATTACAATCATTTAATAATCCTCGTTTTGTAAAAGTACCACTTAATGTTGTTCAATCTTCAGAAAGATGTTTGCCAGTTATAACATCACCATTTACACAAACCCCATTATCATCGATTGAACCTTCTTCAACTTCTTCATCCATATCAACAATTTCCTCAATAACTTCATCTTGTAATTCAAACTCAGCTTCAACTTCAAATCAAGCCACAAAATAAGGATGGTTGTTTAAAAGTCGTTTGAAAGTTTTTTTTATATGAAAGTTTTATATACAATACACATACACACACACACACACATTTTATTTTAAAACAAAGAATGGAAACTAATTTAAGTTTTTATAAAAGAAGTTTTTATAATTTAAGTTTATATAAATGTGTGAAATACAAAGACTGAATATACTGTGATGTAATATAATAGATTTAATAGTTGAATTATTAGATGTTCTTCTATTTGAAAGTTTTATATTCAGTACAAATTTTTTTTAAAGGATAAGTCATTTTATTATTTATGAAAATTAAATATTAAATTGTTACAAAAGAATGCCCAGAAATAGCACACATATGCAAACATGTTTAAAACTGATGCATAAGGCGTCTTTAAGAATACTTATATAAGTAATTTTAAAGATGTGTTTAAGATGTCTTATGCGCCAGTTTTAGATATTTTCATATGTGTGCTGTCTGGGTGGAAACTAATTTAAGTTTTTAAGTTTTTGTTTTAAAAACGAAGTTTTTAATTTAAGTTTATATAAATGAAAAGTACAAAGCCTGAATGTACTGTGATGTTATATGATAATGTTAGTTGAATTATTAGATAATGTTCTTGCAGCCAAACATACCTTTAAATCAATTACTAAATAACTTAAATCAAATAATTACAAAGAACATCTATTCTAAATATTGTGATTAAATATAAGGCAAGGTGCAGTTTATAAAACGATTATATGATTATATTTGAAAGAATAAATTTTATTTGTTGTCAACTGTATTCATGTTTGTAATGTTATATATACATATATGTAATCAAATAAAGAAAAGAATTTTACTATAACAGAATAATTATTTTATTCAGACCCATGTCAAAGATTTAACATGTTTTCATATTCTTTTATGTAATTTGATATGATTTTCTTAAAGGAAATTGTGTCATATAGTTACATAGAACATCTCGTATATTGGACGCATCATAAGAATCATATATTCTACATTCATTTCTTAGAGGTTGAAGAAATATATTTTCAGATGATTCAACTGATTCCATCCAATGAGGTAAAATTGGTTCATTTCTAGATTCCAAAATATTATGTAATACGCAACATGCGATTACTACTTTAGGCACACTGGTATAATGTAAATCTATACGTTTTAATAAACAACGAAATCGTGATTTAATACGTCCAAACGCTCTTTCAACATCTATTCTGTTACTATTCAAATAAACATTAAATGATTCCTCTTGTGGAGTTAAACGTGTAACTTTTGTATATCCTTTCATTAGCCAAGGTAGTAATGGATATGCTGGATCTCCAATCAAAAAATATGGTATTTCAACACCATTAATTAACTTCATTTTCTGAAATAGGTATTGAGATTATTTTATTTTCCAAAAATATTGCAAAGTAAATTAATTTTTAAAAATATACCCTTGGAATAATCCGTTCTGCTTCTTTATACAGCATAGATTTTTTAAATACAGCTGCATCATGACAAGATCCAGGAGCTTGACAGTTGACGTTCATAAACCTTATTAAAATAAAATAAATAATTAATCCAAATTGATTTATTGTTACATGCGAAAAGTAAATATTACTTTACCTTAAGTTATTATCTACTACCGCTTGAAGTATAATAGATGGCCATCCTTTGCGATTAATATAATCTTTATAACCATCTGCAGGTGGTAGAATAGGGATGTGGGTGCCATCAATCGCACCTATTACTTGTGGAACATTTATACGAGCTTCGTATGCTACAGATATCCTTGCACATTCATTAATATCAGGCATTTTTATAAACTTTGGCAACAATATTTTGTTAATAGCATTAACTGTATTATGAAGGCATCTCCATACAGATGTTTTATGAATCCCGAAAATGTTAGCAACTACACGATATTCGCAGCAACTTGCTAAATAATATAATGTTACAGCCACTTTTACTTCCACACTCAATGGTTCTCTAGAAACCAAAAATGGAATAGCAGGATAGAGTTCTGATCGCAGCTCATCACAAATAAATTGAAAAGTAGTACGTCTCATTCTGAAACTTTCAAGCCAATCCTCGTTTAAAAAATGATTAGGTACTATTATTTTCCACCAATGTTTACTGCGAGTTTTCATCCAAAATCTTCTTTTTGATCGATTTATTTTCTTTAGATCTGTAAGCATCATGAGTAATACCTTTGTATTATTTCCTTGCATTTTTAATATATTTTGCCAGAATGTTACATATGTTTGCATGATTACTAAATTACACTGATTAATTATATTTGATGCACTTAATTGATAATTTAACAAAATTATGTCAATATCCATTTTCTTTTTACTCAAGTGATTGTATGTATTTTTTAGAAGTTACGTTTGTCATATTCATGAAAGCAAAAATTAAGTTGGCTCTACTGAAACAACAAATCTATTCACTTCAATTCTACTTCCAATGGAAACAGTACACCAAGTTTGATCCACACCGTAGTGGAACCGAATTGAGGGTGTCGGTGGAAACTAGGTATGTGTCTGCATTTGACTATATACAGGGTGTCCGAAAAGTGTGGAAACGGTCGAATATCTCGAGAAATACACATCGAATCAGAAATCTGAAAATATACGTATTCAATGTTTTCAAAAAAGCTATCTTTTGACATCTAACATGACCCCCCATCCCCACCCACTGTGGATGAAAGAGAGGGTAAGTTTAAAATTTTTAATGGGAACCCCCATTTTTTTATTGCAGATTTCGCTTCTTCAGAAAAAGTTACATAAATTTTACCTATTACAAACATTTTTTTGATGACAGATGGCCCTGTAATCAGCGAAATTAAAAAATGAGTCTAAAACGTTTAAAATATCTCAAGAAATACTCAACG